CAGCAAAGCATGGATTTGCCAATCTGCGATGGGAAGCAAAACAGATTTCTCGCTTTTTCGCGCATTCATATTCCCACTGTGTGTGTATGGTGTTGACACACACGCGCATTCGAACTGATGAAATGGTCCAAAAACACCACAGAGAGACGTTATCTAATATTCACTGTCTTTTAAATGTCCCTCCTTTAGGTCAGCATGTAAAAATTTGGCTCCGAAGGCATAATAAATAAACCCTAAACAGCGCTATGCCAAAGTATTTTGTTTCCGAAATTCTTCTGTTCTTTTCCTGCTTGTCACACTGAAAGGTTTCAGGTCATCAAAGAAAATGCAGGGTTCAAACGATGAAGCTGCACAAAAGTGCAGACAACAACTTGGGATGGTGGTGGAACGCATATTTAATGAAGGGGGCGGAGGGGGGAGTACAAAGCTGACGACACAACCTGGAAACGGGACACGCAAACAAACTTCTGGAGAGCCCAAGAGAGGAGTGGAGGAATAAATGGAGGAAAAAATGAGGATTAATGGAATCTGAAGAGCTTTAATGCTGAAGTGGTGGAAGTGACAAAGCAACCAGAAGAGCTGATCACTGATGAGTGGATGCTGCCGGGAAAGGGAGCATCCAGAGGTAAAATTGGTAAATGAGAAACAGCTGGGAAGGGGAGCAGAATAGCAGGCTAAGGGTAAGGTGACGAATCAACAAAGCAAAGAGAAAGAAAAGGAGGGAAAAAACTAGGACCTGATATAAAACAGAACAGAAAGAAACCCTAATCTTAAAAAAATAAATAAATCTGAAGCACAAACAGTGAACACAGATGAACTAACACATGAGATAAACTTAAAAAAAGAAGCCAAAAAATAATAATATAATGGTCTGGGGAGGTTATTTTGCTGCTTCAGGACCTTGACAAAGTCCTGCAATTAATAGAAACCATGAATTCTGTCCAACCATCACTTTATTACATTACCTAGGTATGATACAGCAGGACAATAATCTGAAGGACAGTGGCCCAGTCAAACTCCTTTCTTGAATCCAATTAAGATGCTAGGGGTGACCTTAAACAAGTTGGAGATCCTCGTAAACTTTCCACTGTGGCTGAATTAACACATTTCCTTTGTCTTTTATTACAGAAACCTAACAGCATTTGTTGCCACTTAAGAATCGCCCAACAAGCAATGACATTTTTACACTAGGTCAGCGTAAATCATTATTTTTGTCTGATAATTTAAACATGTTTGAAGATCTGAAACATTGAGTGCGGGAAAAAAAAAAGCAGAAGAAATCTGTACAAAGCAGCACTTTTTCACAACACTGTACATGCATGTACATGCATCGAACGCATATGTTTTGCACACTGGCACTTAATAAGAGAACATGTTTTCACGAGCACAAATCAGTACATCAATCTTGAAACCATGTCAACACAAGTTGAAAAGAAGGCTCTATACATTCAAAGACCTTTCACAATCAACAACCAAACAGCTTAAAGTTTGGTTTTTTTTTATGTTGCATTTGGGTTACTGTCTCTGCACCGTATTTGTTTTGTTTTGTTCAGCGGTTCTGAATGCTGCATTCAAACCATACCAATGGGTCAGTAGGTTCCTGCTGCGCCTGCTTGAAAAACTTGAAATCCTCACATTGATGCATCACCTAGGAAACGGAACAAAAACGCTCTCCGGTAGCGTAACATATATTTGCAGATCAGGATTTGTGCCTTTTAACAGATTTGCTTTGCATCTTGTTTACTTATTTGCTCAACTAAAAGAATCAAGGATTTAGGCATGAATAGCAGTAAGGTTACTTCCAGCAAATTCTCAATGGAAGCAACAAGTAGCCTCTGCACTTGTTGACAGTCCAGAGGGCAATAAGGGCAATAAAGCTGAATAAAATCAAAGATCGGAAAATGGCCACATAGCTGGAAAATGGTTCATCTCTGCATCCCAATGTAGTACATAGAAGGATGTAACTTCACGTTCTGAATCATAATTGGCATTTCCAGTAAACTACTGCCTCAACAGGCAGAAGTGGGTACTGCAATAACTAAATTACCATGTTGGGCTGGGTTTGTTAACAAAATGGCTCAAGGATTTGGTATTTATTAAGATGCAAGTCTTGGGAGGAGACTTGAAATTGGATGTGTTCTTTTTATGAGAACATTTGTTGTCACACAAAAATTAAATTAAGTTACGTTTTTGTACTTTGCTAATTTGTAAATCAAATTTTAAACCACTAGAAAGTGGTTTAAAGAAGGTAAGAAGGATTTTTTAAAAAGCTAGCTGTTGGGGCTTAAACGTGTTTTTTATTGTTTGTTTTTTTGCCATTGCAATAACAAAATGCTATTTTTTTTTTGTTTCCTTCGTGAAATCCAAACAAACGGCTGTTAAGACAAAGATATGTCATTGCAATTACTCTGTTGCTTCCTATTTTTATTCAGGAATAACACCACTAAATCAGAGATAGACAGTACATCTAACTTTTTATTTATATACATAAACCACACATTTACTCCTTGTATATCCCTGCTTTTTTTAAATTTTTTTATAGATATTTCACATGACGCTTTCTTCCACAACCACTGCAAGCTGCACATTCTTTCAAAGTGCAAGTTGTAATTTCCTGCAAGAAGCAACAACCTGTGGGGTCTTTCAGGAAGACAGTCACTAACCTAACCTAACTATGCATCATGTCAACAATAAGGCAAAAACAATCACAAGAATATCTGTGAGTATCCATGTCAGATGAAAGAAGACATCTAATGTGACACACAGCCTCACACATACACACAGAGGCTTCCAGATTCCTCAGAGTTCATGAAGAACACTCTTTGTGGCCCTGCAAACGTCAGTGTGTCCAAATAGGCTCAAGTTTCAGCAGGCGAGTTCTTCTAATTCCTTCTCTTTCAGTCACTGACACACACACACACACACACACACACACACACACACACACACACACACACACACACACACTTAAGCATCTATCATCTTGACAAAAATACACTGGACCTGCCGGGGAGTAACAATAAAGCTCCGGTGAATTGTCTCTGTCTTCTGACCCACTTCCCTTCAACAAGAATAGAGTCCACTCGTCAAATATTTGTTAATACTAAATTGCCTTGTCAGGAGTGGTGGTTGGACGCACGTTGCAGACTGTGAACATAACAGAATTTTCTGACAATAAAAAGGCTGAAAAAAATTTATTTAACAATTGGTCACATAATAAAAAACATTCTCTTCAGGTTTAGCCATTTAGTTTTTGAATCAGCGCTGATGAATAGATAAAATTGGTCCATAAAAACGAGCCAGACTGCTGAGATGGGTGGACGTGGAGGGAATGGAATCAAAGTTTGAAAAAGGACTGCAGGTCTCTCTCAGTGCGTGCGTGCGTGCGTGCGTGCGTGCGTGCGTGCGTGCGTGCGTGCGTGCGTGCGTGCGTCACATCTATTCTAGGAGAATTCCAGAGGGGAGACCCTGTGACTGACCCCCACCTTCCAGGACCTGGCAGGATATCGCCAAACAGCAGGCGCACTTACACATGTGTGTGCACATACACAAACGCTCACCTTATAGGAGGGCTGAAGGACACATTGGAGCCAAATGAGTTGCATTACAGCACTGCAAGCACAGCATTATTCAAAACAGTAGAACATTTTCTGATTTCTACTTGGCTTCTGAATATTTATATTTGTCTCTGGTAAAGCTGTTTTTAAAATCCGTTAAGCTCAAACACTGCTGCAAAACTTAAAAATTTATTTATTAATGCAACCACAGAGCTTTTGAAATCTATTCTGATTTCTAAATAAACAACCAAAATACTAAATTAACATATTACATTTTGATATTCACACTGAGAGGCCTGTCTGTTAAGCATGCAGCTGCTGGCTAGCTAGCCAACAACATAGCCACCTAGTTACACCTGTGTGGAAAGAAAAGAACAACAAAAAGGGATAATATTCTCCAAAATTAGAGTTTGCAGCTGGGAATGACTTCACACCTGAGAGGGGAGCATTGTAAATGCAAGTCAGAAAACAGTGCGGTTTGCTAACTGCTATGATGGCTAACTGTTGTTAGCAATGCAAGCTGATAAATAGCATATTTCTCTTACTTCTCTAATTTAAAACAATGGCAACATGTTTACTGCGCTAAGCGTGTATGCTTTAAAGAGATAAACCATCAGAAGTGCAAACAAATAGTTAATATTGGCCACATTCACCACATTTTCGGATTGAAATTCCAACTTCTTAGGGCGTTTTTGAGAAAAAGAGATTGTACTGAGATGTGAATCATTTTCCTCAGCTATCCCACCATGATAATCTCATACCAGCCCAAGCCTACTTTCATGTATAACTGTAGTAGGCTTGTGTCAGCCAGCTGATCAGCAGTGTGCAGGGAGAAGTGAAGCAGGGTTAGCCCTGTAAAACTCAATGGAGAAAACTCCAGTTCACACTAACACTGTCTCTGGCAATGCATGAAAAGGACTTTAAACTGCAGGAAGTAGCATGATACAATATCTGTGGTTATAAAACCACAAATTTGTTTTTTGTTTGTTTTTTTTTTTTGTTTTTTTTAACTTAGCGATTAATACCGGCAACTGACTCGTGCTCACTGACAACCGATTTTCTGGACATCTACTGAAAAAAATAATGCAAAAACTGCATCTAAGCGGATTTGTCTTTCCAAAATGAAGTTAGTTTGCCTCTTAAGCTTTGAGCACACTGACTAGAACTACACCACTTGTTGTTAGAGCCCTTCAGGTGCCTCACTACAGGAGTCTTGGCGTAAGAAATCCCAACTTCCTTTCACACAACTGGAGGTTCCCCACTGATGTGAGGAGGGCACGAGCGCCCGCGATATGTGCACATATCGCTCAGCGCGCGAGGACCCAAACGTTTAAAAAAATAAATAAAAATCACACATAAAGCCCAACTGATGTTCCTAAAGGGCACAACACAGCGAGGGAAGCAAGCAAGTTTCCTTAAACAGAGAGCAGAGAAAGCACTCACTCTGACACCATCGTCTTATCTTCCTTCTCCGCGGCTCATTCCTCCTTCAGCCGATTCCCCCAAAAACTCTTGTCACGACGAAGCTCCGCGCTGCCCGCAGAATCAAACCAGCTGCGGCTCGGCAGCCGAGAGAGACTAGACGGAGCAGAGGTTTGCTCCAACACGCAGGAGCTCCGTGTGTGTACGCGTCTCTGTGCGTGTGTGTGTGTGTGTGTGTATGTGTGACAGCTTATGGAGAGAATGAGCAGCGAGAGGAGAACCGGGGAACTTAGGGGGGAGTTCCCGTCAACAGACCGCCGGGGCGGGGGCTCCAAGAGACTGACGGCCCGGTCGGTTTTTTTTTTTTTTTTACGTTTACAAATAATTTGTGATGCTCTAACTGCTACATTCACACTGTAGCTGAATAAAACATGCGATAGATAGATAGATAGATAGATAGATAGATAGATAGATAGATAGATAGATAGATAGATAGATAGATAGATAGATAGATAGAACTACAATTTGTTGTGTTTTCAATATACATATGCAAAGATACTTCACACACAATCCTATTAATGATTTTTTTAAAGTCCCTTAAGAAACTGCAAAAAAATGTCCCAAACCTTAATTATGGGCTGAACTGTACAAATATTGTCGAAAAACACACTTTTTTCTCATATCTGCCATCGTGCAACACAAATCGACTGGACTGTTAGCTCAGAACGGTTAAAAATTCAAACTAACCCCTTCCAAACTTTCCAGATTATGTTTTATCAGGATTCAAGGGAAGAAAAACAACAATTTCAAAAGGAGGCCAACTATTTACTATAAGAACAAAACTTTCCGAGAGAATAATACCAGAAGTCTTCTGATGGCTTCTGAAGCATGTTTATCCAAATATCAGTTTAAAGTACTCAAAGCGATTAAAATGTGCTTTCTTACCTGAACCGTTGAATGTAAAACTAAGTATTTTTGTCCAAATGGCAGCGTGTAGCACTAATTATATCTGCAGAAACAACGTCCTCAGCAGGGCAAGGTTTTGGCAGAAATAACACTCTGGATCATTATTGTCACACCTTTTAATCTAATCGTACTTTTGTAATTAGATTGAAAGTGTCAGACTGCTAAAGCGCATCTGAAGCAGCATGTAGACAGCTTTCCACCAAATCAGCAGCAAACATCTTCTTATTACAGGGCATGAACTGTAATGAGTGGTTTCTATGCTATGAATAATTTGGGTGAAGCTGTAGCCTACGAGGACGTAGTCATTACCGAATAACAATCTAACAGATTTGCTTTGAGTGAGATTCATGGCTGAGGTTTTTGTGACAGGCCAGCAAATTGAAATACGCCGTTCGCTCAAGGAATCGGATGTAGCTACGCTGCACAATTAATTGGGGAGGATTGCAATACTGGTGTGCTTAAAACTGGTGTTTCTATGGAGACCAGGTGGTCAGCTTCTCCACTGACTACAGATTCTGACGGCAGGCTGGTTTTCACTGTTAATCTAGACAAGAAAAAGCATTTGTTGTCAAAAATTGGGCTAAGAGTGACACGTCAACCAAGGCATCCAGTCAAGAATCCTCCTCTATGACATGCTTTCATTTATTTATTTATTTTAGGGATCCTCTGTTTTGCTGACAGACAGTGACAGAAATACTTGCGATCTGACCCTTCTCTGACTCGTCATGTGTGTCTCTATTCTGCATTGCCCATCCACGTCTCCAATCTCTGTTTGAAGAGACAGTGAGGCTGCAGGCTCCACTCGACCGTAACATACCCAGTTTTAGCCGGTGACCTGGGAGGAGGAGGAGAAAGAGGAGGAGGAGGAGGAGGAACGGGTCTGAAAACAGGGGGTCTGTGGCTGTGTTGCAGACGGTGTGAAGTTACAAATGAATGAGAGTATGACCCTCTGAGGTGGGGTTTTTGTTGTTGTTGTTGTTTTTATGCACAGACTCACACCTGAGATCCCCCTTTAAACCCGGCTGGAATGTGTCTCCAGTAACAACATCAACCGTCACAAGGTCCACATCACATGGCACAAACGGTCGCATCAAGAGAGTGTGTGTGTGTGTGTGTGTGTGTGTGGAGGGCCTATTCTTGTGACAGTTTCTGTGTGCGTGCTTCCCACAGGTTAAAAATAAAAACTCTGAGTTAATCGGAGGTAGAGTCTGCCGAACTTTACAGGAAGACAACCAAGAAGTTGTCAGCCAAGCAGTGGAAGAATGAAAAACATCGCAGAGACCTCGACGTCTCGGCGGCACTTTCTCGGGACCTTAAGGTGTGCATGCCCTCTGTTAAAACACAAGGTGTTTGCCTCATTGTTTGTTGCTGTTATCATGTGTGAATCAAGTGCAAAACAAACCAGTTTATGAAAGGAAGAAAATTGAAAATAAAACATACGAAAACATAGAACTCTCCAATAAAGTGGTTCCATAAATATGCACACTCTCGTACTAAAGCTTTGTCATTTTATCATTTTGCGCCTGTCATTAATTCTTATGGATCTGATTAAGCTAAAATAAAGTTCAACTTGTACGATTTTCTTCATATTTGCTCATCAGCGTCATGCAGCTGAAGTCGTGGTTTACTGATAGCTTACAAAAGAGCAAAACGATTTTAGAGTAAAGGTATCAATCAGGAGAAGAAAAAAAATCCTCCCCCATCAGAGATGGATCATGCCACAGTGAAATCAACTATAACACGAGTAAAAGTCGGATTCAGACTGGAGTAAAATGAACTCCCCCTATATTATTATCATTCTGCTATTAATTTTGTTTTCACCATACTGTCAGAGAGCAACACAGAGGCACAAAGGACAAGCAACCGTGCATTCACACACTCACTCACTCCTGAGGGAAATTTAGAGAGAGCACTTAACCTAACATGCATGTTTTAGAGTGTGGGAGGAAGACCAAGCACAACAACAGGCAAAAGGAAGAGCATGAAAAGCTGCAGAAAGAGATCCAGCCAGGACTTTCTTGCTGCAGTGAAAATAATTTCGACTGATGATTGCAGGGATTCTGTAAACAGAAAAGGCGATGAAACCGTCACGAATCTGGGTTGTTTGTTTGGGGTTCTGTGTAGTTTTTTTTTTTCTTTTTTCTTTTTTTTTTCCTTGTTCACTCAGTGCAGCTGAGGGCGAGGCTGCTCTGATTGCACCTGACACCAATCGAGCTCATCAGTCTGAGACTGGTTGTGTGAGAGCAGCTGCACGATCAGCCATTGTTGTGGTAATTTAGCCTATCCTCTCCGGCGCTGTGGTGAGCTGAAATGATGCCTCATGTTTCTAAACGACTTACATGAATTTTACCTCAAATCTTGACCGGCTGTTTTGTGTTTTCTGACTTAAAAAAAAAAAAAAACACTACTAGAGCCACATTTCAAGTTTCTGTTATTCATTCCTGGTCCTGAAACCATCCACACAACAAATTGTGCAGAGTTGAATCAACACTATGCCGAGTCTATTTGGTCCTTATCAGAATTGGTGTTAATTTAACTCTTACAGAGTTATTTCAAAAGTAGTTTGTGTAGTTCTCACTTTTTTTTCCAAGTGTTAAAATGACTCAATTTCTTGTTGAAATAACTCTGAAAAGAGTTAAATTAACACCAATTCTGATAAGGACCAAATAGACTTGGCAATGCTTTTGCTTATAAAGCCAGGCTTTGTGCAGAACTACATTTGTGGAACAAGAGAATGAAAAGTGGTAAATATCATCACACAGCTCAAAACTGAAGGAAGAAATCATTAGTCCAACTCTCCTTTTATGTTGCAGCTACTGTGGGGGGGGTTTGTAGGAAATACACATAAGATTTTTATGTGTATTTCCTACACAGATAGTTGGCCTATCTTCACCTTAGAATCGAGTGGCATTGTCACGATGAAAGGTCGCGGTATGGAAATCCACCTTTAAGATGCAGGCGTCTACAGAAACACTCCCCACAAAATGTGAACTACATTTGAATTCCACATTTTTACCGCATTTTGTTCGCAGGAGTGTTTCACCTTTGTCACGTTCCATAAAAATCGAGGCCTAAAAGCACACGTGAGCAGGCGGTGATTCATGGAAATTCATAGAAAAAGTGTGAAGCGAGGAACAGAGTACCTGCATCAGCCGACAAAAACAGATCGTATCGCGAGTCAAGCTCACCAGGAACGGTGGAGAAGCGGAGTGGGTGGGGATGAAAGAAAAGTGCTGTGCAAGTGTTGACACATCCCTGACAAAAAGGAACAGGGTGCGTGTCTCGGCACCCCGGATGGCCGGTGTGGATGAACAGCGACAGCAAGCATGTGAGAACCCGCCTCCGAAGACCAGGCACCTGGACTGGAGCTTCTGCTGAAAGCAACAGGCGCCAAAAATGTAACATCATCACACATATAGGCAAGAGGACAAGAGGGTCAAACACTTGCGCGCCCACACCCAGGCATAAATATTTGGTGCCTGGCAAGAGTATTTGTATCCATTTCACTTTGTCATGTTGCACACTTAAAGCATACGTGGGTTTCAGCATGTTTTTTGTTTTTTTGTTTGTTTTTTTATAAATTGCATTTCTATTTGCCATTTGCGTTGACAGGTGTCTCCTGACAAAAAGAATCATCTGTGTGTATTTTAATCTCAGACGCACCTGAGATGAAAATAACTCCCTAAACACACACGGAGAAGCACGGTGGTGGCAGCATCATGACGCGGTGATGATGTCGGGAGAAGGAAGCTGGTCAGACGTGGTGAGAAGATACATGAAGTTTATTGTGAGAACGGCCCAGTCAAAGTCCAAAAGCTGCTGAGAATTTGTTGGGGCGGAGTTCAAATGAAATGTTCAGAGTTGCTGTCCATCCAGTCAGACTGCGGACAGTTCAGTCCCTTCCCTCCACTCGCATCTATTCGCCACTTTTTACGGAGATTTCTCTTAGATGAAATCTCCATAAGATACCCTGTCGTCTTGTGGCTGCAGCTCAACAAAGTGTGAAAAACTTCAAAAAGTGTTAAACTTTTTTTTTTTTTTTTTTTTTTTGCAAAGCACTGCAAATCTGGCGGGCAGGGCTGAGCTTACTGCTAAACCGAAGTTAATGAAACCCTTGACTGCGTGTGCTCTTTTCACAGGGAGGGCCCTGCGTTCCTGCATCCGTCTGTTTGCACTGCAGCTATCAGCAGGTTTGATGATCTGAGCTTCTCTGTGCCTTTGTGAATGTGGGCTTTCTTCTTTTCTCCTTTCTTTCTTCCTCCTCAGGGAAATGTCAGTAAAAAAAAAAAAAAAAAAGTGGGGGAGAGCTTTATTACAGCCTGCATGAT